TCATATCCTCGTACTCCAATCTACCTTGCATAGTCTAGGTAATAATTATTATTCAATTGGTAGTTTATAGGGATTAATTGACTGCAGAGTAGTTTTCATCATGTGTGTGCGTACTGTTAGACAGTTAATTGTAAGCTAGGACTAAACAGCTGTCCAGAGCTCCCAGGTTTCCAGGGGTTTTTCAACTAGTTTCAATTCGTGATGAAAATTAATTTCTGATAATTATCTTTATTAGTTTATCGCCGTCTTCAAAAATGTTACAAATTTGAACTATTTTTGTTTGCGTTTCATCAACTTATTTCAGATTTTAACGAAGAGATATCTGAATATCGATGTAAACAAAGTCATTTATTTAATCCTTGTGGTTAGTTGACCAATAAATGTTGTTTGAACTTCCACTGTGTTTTAACGTCAGGTTATCCTTTAAGGTAACATTGATTTCCTGGTAATTGTTAGCAGCTGTTTTTAATTTCCAGTTTGATAGGTTACATTGAGAACTTGATTACTGTTAGCTGCTAAACAACATAGCAAAACGTTGAAGCGACTTGTCGGATATTATCTTAGTTCCTTAGGCTAAGGTCCCGAAATCCAATAAGTACTACGTTAGAAATATTCCTCCGAGAATCGATCGGTATATAAAAATGTGGATGTCAGAAACACATGTGACTTGTTTTTAGTTTATCGGCCACTAGTTGACCTAACAACGACGTCCTCGGTAGGTAGTTTATTCTGGTAGATATGTTAAATTTTCAAAACAGATTTTTTATCGGTTTATTCCTGATAAGATGATATTATCGGAAAAAGAGTTTCTTAGAAGAGATTATGGACTACCTATCCATTTTATGAATCAAGAGAGCGTGCGGCTGTTTGTCAACAAAAGTGATTTGTTTTACAAAACAGATTCATAAACAGTTTTAGAAATTCGAAAATAAATAGTTGACTGACAAATTTCGTGTTCTACAAATGCTTTCATCTTTCAGCGCACTCGAAAATCCAGTTCTCATTTGCAGTTGCCATCTCCAGAACCTATTGCTGATGGTAGTGATAGTGAGGAATTCGTGTCCGGCGAATCATCTTCCTGTGGAGTCAATCCAACATGTTGGCATCCTACAGCTAGAACCTGTGCTAAGTGGAGGGCAAGAGTTTATGACCTTGGTCACCATATAACATGGCATCAGGATAAGTTATTCATATACAGCTTTGGGCCTAATGATCGTCAGTTATTCAATAATGCAGTTATGCGGTAAGTTATAGAACTAGAACACTTTAGTATAATATAATTTAATGTTAGATTATTCTCCACCTTTTGATGTAGCTATTGATAATAAATTTTGTACCGTTCCTTGTTCATGAAAGAATTTTTTTCCAGTGTATTATATCTAATGAGAAATCTGTGATGAACTTGTCTATTGTACTCCAAATTCTTCAGCTGTTGGATTTGTTAACCTTAATTTACACATATTTCTGTTGTCATCATCTAATAGTGGCACTTCCTTTCTATTGTTTAAGTGTTAATCTGGAAAGCAACTTTAGTTTTCTACATGTCCATGATGCAAATGAGTTAAGGAACGTAACTTTTTGTAAGTCTTTAGTCATTTAGTTTTCGCACAATTGTATTATCATAGTGGAATGACATAGTAGTGAATACGTGGGCTACATGTACTTCGGAGGGAGAAAATCTTTACTTCAAATTTTGATGTTGATTTTGGCATTTATACATTTACAAATGTTCTAGAATTGATTCACTATTCTAGAAAGACTACTGTTATTGTTTTTAGGGGAATTTCCGAGTAAATACCTATATTGATTGTTAAGTGAACTTCAGTTTCCTTTGCATACTAATTGGCTACAAACAATTTCGATAACTCTCGGTGTATCTATATGTCTGAAGAAGTAAGTTTAAACACGATGTAAATACGTTGTAAGTAACGGGGTTTGGATGAAGTTTTAGACATATGAGGAATTGTATTGCTGTGATCTGACTACAGCTACACCTATCAGCATATAGTAAAACAGTATTATTTACCGCATAAGGTTTCTATCAAAATACAATGCTCATAATAATATCTAAGTGATCACGCTATTTATTTGAATTCTTTATGGTTCGAGAAATGGAGTTACCCATTCGATTGTCCGAAGTATAGTGTACTGCTTGTTAGTTTTTATCACTTTCTAAACTAATACTAGCTTTAGGTAGAACCAAGTTTCGAACATTTTTTTATCTCCAAGTTTACTTAGTTTTTATTTTATAATTTCTCTGAAGCACCAAGTAATCATTAGTTATCTTCTGAACCGCTTAGGTTTGGTCTTCCACCACCGGGTATTGTCCCACCTCAAGACTGGCTTCCACCGGCTTTGTATCACAAATCCCAACTTCAGCTTTTTGGCTATGTAGACCTATACATGAAACATTTATACGATGATCCAAATGCATTGATAGAGTCAGAAGAAAAGTAAGTTTTACGAGCATTTTTGTAACTGGAGTATTAATGCTTTACTTATTGCAGTTCAATCATATAGACAAGTGTTTTCGCTTACTAGTTATCGGCAAAACATACGGCAACTTAGTGTGTTTCAGTATTTTGTTCTGTTGGCTTGAATGAATAAGTTTTGGGCCGCTTTGGTGGCAACAAATATTTCAATTTCCCCAGTAAATCGAAATTGAATCACTACATTTTAATCCTTTTTTTCCAGCCACTTTAGAAAGACATAGATATACCTGATATTAGTTGTCTATGCACCTAAAATGGCACATTTATCCTATACTGTTTCTCACTTTTCATTCGTTTGCCATGAGTTATTCACTAAATATTATTACTACCTCATTTTCTTCATATTCTCCTATCGTCAAACCAGAATCAGAAGAGATGGGAGTATTGATGTTAGTCCACTATTTCTGAGTGTGTTTGAAAGACTTATCAAACCCCCTTTGACTGAAACCACTAAACCCGATGGATTGCGCTTGATCGTCTTTAAGAAAAGCGATTCTGCACAAGAATTATTAAGTCCACAAATGATTTCAATTTATTTGTAGCAGTAGTTTTCTGAATGATACCAATAATTGTTGTTAGTAGAAACTAGTTTGCGTGAAATGTGACTGTTGATAGTTTTCAGATACCGAACAGAACTGACCTAGTGGTTAACATACTTCAATTTTGATAATTAGGTTACATATCAAAGTTTGAGTATTTCGATAATTCTAGGTCTTACAAAACTCGTGACATAGAGCAATGACTGATTTACATCTTTTTAAATGTTAAACTCTGATTAGTGTAATGTATTATTCCGATTCAGAATGCACAATACTTCATCTTAGTTAATGGTTCATCGGTTTAAAATATTATTTTTATGACTGTTTTCTTTTCAATCTTCAAATATGATAGTAGGCAAATCATAAGGGATATGTTCATATTCACTGACTAAAAGAGCTTCATTTGACCCATTTACAACATTTCGTTGCGTATTATGCTTTTAATATGTTTCCGTTTAGTTGGTCAGACGGTTTACCTAAAGAGCATTTATGCGTTCCTGCAGTGCTTTCGCGTATTGCAATGATGGCTTTAATTAGGAATAAAGTATTGCAGTATGAAGATATCAACGGTGCAACAAGTATTCCTTTTGGGGTTAGTCATTTTCATTCGTTCATTTACTAGCATATATGTCTTTTTTTAGCCAATTTTCATGTATCAGAAAGCAGGTCACATGTATCATATAAAGACTGTCCAAACTTTGTTAGATGGTGGGAACTGTAAACTGCTACTGACTAGTTGAAAAAAAGGTGCATATCCCAATGAACCATAGCCCCAAATCTAATTTTATGCAGGGATAGTAACTGATTTTACCTTACGATAAGTGTTGAAAAACCCCTTTATCGCTCTAACAATATTTGGAAGAAAATATTTAGTGATTAAATTGGAATTGTAATTTTGTAAACGATTTAGTTTTATCACTCAGTTGTGGGAATGCAGCGCATTGGCTTTAGCGTAACTCTTTCATCCAATATATCCGAAATTCAAATCCCAATGGACCTGGACAACCGTGCATTATCGTAAGCCCCTCAGCCAATAAGTATAGCTCATAAGTATGCAAACGTGTCCATCAAGTTGCACTATCTGTCATGTATCGGTGGAAATGATACTCTAAAATTTTTTGTTGAGAAATGGTTACATTCTTAACGTGTAGGCAATCCGATAAGAGTCAGAAATAAATTACTATACCACTGATTACTATTTCGTCTCTCTATTTTAAAAATTATCAAATACGAGTTTTTTGTAAGATAGAACGCATTTATAAAAAAAGTTTCTAACAGAATCATGCTTCACAGAGGAGAAACTGTTTACCTTCATTCGAACCAGGAAGTTAAAGCCAACTTTGTAAAGAAATGTTATTTCTTTTAAATTGACTATGAACAACCGTAACCAGAAACCAACGTTACATAGTATAACTAAAGCCAAAAGTTATGCTATGAAGAATATCCTATTCCAATGGAAAATGACGCATAGGTCATCTGTATTACATGGCATGAACATGGAATAAGTGTTGATATTCTACATAAACTATTGTTTCCTCATTCATTAGGTCCTGCTTTAGAGACCTTTATTCATGTATCCAAATTATTTTCATGCATGTAAAAATATTCTAAGAAAAGATTGTTTCATGCTAATTGGCCAGCTGAAAAGTCTAAATTTATGAGGAACCTACCATGACTACAGAATAACATAGATCGAAAATTAAGACTCAAACTTGCTAGTAATTGATGGCTTTCTACCAGGAGCTAGTTATTTTAAGCATTTAAAGATAGGGGAATTTTTAATGAAATTAGTACTATGGATATCCATCAGAACCACTTCAGACCGTTTTGTATTCCAATATATAGTGGTCGATACGGTGACATGCAGTCTGAAGATTTGTAATTATTAACGTAGCGTTGATTTTAAATTATCCTGTGAACTAGTTGAATTAGCTAGGATTTATATACCCCGTCGATAAATTCGGTTATATTGAAAATTTTCGATGACAAAGTCCACAGTTTATTAACCTCATTTCAGCCTGTTACGAAAGCGTATGTCAATTCACTAAAATCGCCTGCATCGCTTAAATAAGTAAAAATAAGTTGACATCGAAAGCCATTACCTAAACATTCGCTCCTATTCATAGTGAAGATAGATCCTAGTTTCTATCAGCGATGATCGGGTAATACGTAGTAAGAGTTGGGAAATGACCAGTTAATTTTGACTTACTGCCTGATGATGTTATTCGCACACATTTGGTCCACTTGCTAAACCAGGCCGGGTAGAAAGGAAGATTTGCTAACCTAAGTTGAAGAAGCTTTATTCGGCTTTGTGTTTTCGTTTAGTACATTGATCATTGCTGTAAATTACTGTTTATCGTACACATGTTTATTTATCTTTACTTCAAGGTTCAAAATAATGCATTTAAATTTGCCATACATGAAGGCGGCTTGACATTATTACGCTCTGCATGGAATGATGAATGTACCCAAATCAGCAATATTTGTCAAACTGTTCAATCTCAATCAGAGATGGCTAGAAATTCTGAATTAATACTAAAAACGCAGAGGGTATGGCATTCACGTCATGATTACTGGTTACTCGCTGGTATACTCGTTCATGGCTATTCTAGGTGGACGGACATACTGTCTGATCCACGTTTTCGTATTCTAAATTTTGGACTCTCTGGTGTTCTAACCAGCATGAATAAACTTATGAATTCTGAATTAGGTAAGTGGTGGTTTTCTTTCTGTCTTTATTTTTGATTTCAGCTGTTTCTTATTAACAGTTACCAGTGATTTTTTTGAAGATAGCTGTTCAATGCTGCTCTATGTTATAGAGCTAATGAAAGCTCTCTACTAGAGTTCACCCAGCCGTGTTGGCCAGAGATGTTCACTGTCACCGTTCATATTTAACTTCGTCATAGACGTACTAATGGACTTAACCTTAGATATGTCTGACTTTACAAGGATTGACCTACTCCCTGGAGGTCATCTAGTTAAGATGCTGACAAATACAGGGTCTTCTGGACGCGTTGAGCAGAAATATGAGTATGTTTGGCATTGGTTTTGCTGGCACCTGTGAAATGTAAAATAATGCTTGAGGACTGGTCTGCAACGATTTCGAGTTTAATGATAGGGAGTGAGGTGGTGGAACATACCGACCACTTCACTAACCTACGGAGTTGCATTAGGGATGAACGGGCTGATTGCTGACGAAATCTTACCTCGGATACAGAAGGCCTGTTTGGCATTCGCTAACCTGCGTCATGTGTGGCGCCGATTGGCTAGATATCCGGTTGTCTCTCGAAGGTCGAGTATACTGTGCTGCAGTCCGTTCTGTCCTACTGTACGACTGGCATATGGCCGTTGAAAGTAGAAGATATGAAACGATTACAGTGTTTCGATCACAGATGTCTTCGTAGTATTGCTCGCGTCTAGTGCCATGCTGGAGGAAGTCGGATTACTTTGGAAGTGGTTTCAGGGTGACCGAACAAAGACCTGACACCATTCCATGAAGTCTCTTACTGTTAGTCTGAGTCGTGTGAGATGTCGACTACCTGACTGAGGTCTTCGAGATGAAAGAAACCAGTGATTGAGTTCTCTTGGTCAGATGCCTGATGGTCACAATGGCGCAGATGTATTTTAAAGCTTGAATGTTCACACTAACCTTTATCTTCAGATTGTATATTCTCTTACCCTACTTTATCTTCTTTGATAAAACTACTTTCCTATCCACCTACTCTTTGTGTACCACTGTGAAGTGTAGCAGCTGGAGCCGATACACCTGTGTGCGAAGTCCTATTTAGATTTTATCGGTAATCAGTCTTAGGACAAAACAGTGTAATCAAAAAACATCCTTCATCGACTTCAGAAACGTTATCATTAAAGTTTTCTACTTACTCTTTAAACTCAGTTATTTATCTGCATTCATACTTTTTTTCGTATTTCCATTTCATAGGTTCACGCTGCACATCTTCGTATCGTGTTCCTTCAGAATCTACTGAAGCACAAGCTTTTTTACTGGATCGTTTAAAATTACTTGAACAAGCTTTAATTGTTGAACAAGCTCTGCACGAAATAGCTGAAGCTGCTCTTAGCAGTAGTTCAAACAAAAATGCACCTGATCCAAGCCGTATCAAAAATCTAGCTGTTTGCTTATCTAACAAGTTAATTCAAACAGGAGCCCGCAAACGAATCGCTTTGCCTAAGGATCAAAAAGCCAGAGAAGCCACTCGTGCAGGTTTGTAGATAAGTATTTAAAACTGAATCAATGCTTTGTCTGTCTAATATTTCACTGTTGTGCTTATCATAGCAGATTTAGTGTTGTGCTGTATTCTTCTTTGTCCTAAACTATTTGAAGAAGTGTTTATATTCAGTGTTTTCCGTGGTTAGTGTTCGAGTAAACCAGTGAAATGCACTGAACTTGGGAATAGTTAGTTTTTCTAGTGGTGGTCGGTTTGTAAAAACTAACAAGCGGTGAAAATTAATATTTTTTGCTTACCTACATATCTTTTCTTAATTAGTAAGGGGAAAGAAACGCAATAACATTTCATGTTGATACCTTAGATAACACTGTAGAATGTACAGTTATTCTCGGGATAAATAAAGCAATTTTTATATCCTCCAAGGGATAAATTTTGTATGATGTTATGTTGCGAAAATCTAATGGGATGTTTAAGTATAGAATTGCTTTATAAGTAATCATACCTGTTTAATCTTATTAAAAGGTTATTAGCTGTTAGATATAACCTTTTTCGCAGTAATCATTTATAAATATGCTATTTCTAGATTAACCTATTCGAACTTCTTTTACATATATGTAGTCGGTTAACCTAGTTTTCCTATTTATTTTAATAGTTGTTCAAAATCTTCAGGAAATATTAGAAGACATGTATGCCGATCTACCTGGTATGCCAGCTTCAGTAAATTTCACCGGAGGAGATGAATCCAGTTATAAAGAAAGGAAATCGAAAACCATGTCAAACACATCAAACGAATATAGGAGTGGCACTGGTAGTTCCTCATCGCAGTTATCCAAAACGAATGCAGTAACATCGGAGGTGAATTTGTGTGGTGAGGATAACGATGACATTGAACAAGAGATTATTGCTAATAGTAATGATGGTCATAATGGAAACAATAACAGACAAGTATCATCAGATAAAATGCCTTCCATTAATCATGAGAAAACTAATTCTGATCGCTTGGTACTCCAGTCAAAAACAGCCCCGCCTACTCCAGCCAGTTTTGAAACTTGTAAATCCAATAGCTCGCCGATGCCGGAAAAGGAGATATTTATTGAGTTATCCGATGAAGAAGACAATGGAAATCATGATTCTAGTTTTGGTAACGATCATACTAGCCAGGAAATAAATATAGAAATGGACAATAATACTGCCGATAGAAATAATGCTGGTGAACAGTGTGTATTACCCACCATATCGAACCCTATCCATGGTGCTTTTATTTACTCCAATAAGTGATTCATCATCCACTATCTATTACTTACAGCCCTTCTGTACAAAACCCCCTTGTGTATTCTGCTTTTTTTCGCACAAAATAACATATTGATTACAAGGTTATTTTACCGAAAGACCTTTTTGTTGTTGTCGTTGTTGTTCTCTACAAGTTTTGTTTGCAGCGCTTTTAGAGTAATATACACTGTAAATAAAGTAAACTTTTATGCGCTTTGCTTATCATATATACCATATAGGCTAGAATCAAATTTACAGTAAAACGTTAACGCTTATCATTACCGGTAGTAATGCTCAGAATATGATTTTCATCGTAAGTGTAAACTTTGCTTTATGCAGTGATTGCAGTCGTATGTGACAAAAATTCGGTAGGGATGATGCAATCACTTTACTCTGCCACTTATGTTTCACTTGTTTTCATTTTAATTATTTTAATCATTCTATTGGTATAGTCCATAAGTGAAACCTATTCACACTCGCCACTGTCAAGGCTTTTGCTAAGTGGCATCACAATTCACGTCGAAGTTTAAATTATTTATTTAGTATGTAAGAAAATTGTTTGGATATTGTGCTGCTCATTAATTATAATTGAGTAGTTTTCCCTTGTGCTGCTTTTTGATATGAACTTTGGCCATATATACGATCCAGGGATTTGAGTTACTAATTTAGGATAGTTGGAAATGATGTTTTATTTGCAAAGGTGGACTGATCTCGCATGTAGTAGTTTTTCAAAGTTATATACTTTACTCAATCTTAGTGTCGTTTCTTCGCAAGTTAGTTTATCATGATTGACTGCAGCGTTTGTTAACCTTCGTTTCGTAGGTTTTAAACGTCGCTTGTAATTGACTGCTCTCCATCAACATTTGTTCAACAATTTGGCTGCATTTGTAGTCCATTGGATGATTATATCTCTCAATGAAGTATTGAACTGGCTTCATATCACTCCGTTTGAGCTGTTTATACAGATTGTGGGAGTTAATTTGAGTTTAATTTTGGCTGTGCTTTGGGACGAAAAGATCTTGAATCTACTGCTCAGTACCAATGAAAGATATGTAATTTTATGGTGGGTCTTCTTACCATTATGGTGTGCAGATGGTCTTGTCTCTTACTTCAACCTTGTGGTGTTTTTCAGACGCATGCATTATCACAAAGTAAGCTAAACTTTTCTTTACTGATATTCTTTACTAGTTTTTCATTCGAATCAGTCATAGTTGTTGCTTCTCTATGTGTAGGTTGTACGTGGAAGCCTTCTCCATTACGGATTTCGGCCTGACTATCTACCTCCTCCTCCTTGGTCGTCCATAATCTTAGATACAATTTACAAAATACTATTTGATTTTTGTATTTTCACATTTAAACTAGTTCTTTTCCGAAAATTGGTGTATTTAAATGAGAGTAATTTGACCTATACCACAGTTTTTTCTCCAATCATCTGTGTTATGCAGTTAATACTTTTATCAGTGTGCGTAAAGACATGTGGGAGCCGGAATGATTAAAATGTAAAGTATCTTTCCTAGGGTTTTTTGTCATTACTTTATTTTCTGTAAAATAATATGCAAGTATATCTGTAACCCTATTGTAATTAATGTACTCTATCACAATGTACTGTTCATATAATGCAGTTTGAAATGCGAGTCAGAAAAAGTCAAGACCATCTTCATTGATATCAGTAGTTGATTTTTAGTCTACCGTTTCGAAGAGTTGGTTTTCTTGCTCGAGAGTTTGTGCATGTTTCTGTGTTAAAATTCAGCACATTAGGGCGATAATTCATCAGCGCACAACTGCGACAACACTATGCACTGACCTCAAAACCCAGAGGTTTAACCTCCAGCACCTTACGATCCAGCCACTGCATCGGTATTCCACCGTCATTTCCTCCTAGTTTTTCCAACCGACGATATAGCAGTACTACTGTGCGATTTGTAAGAAGAGCATTAGTCATTACACCTGACGTAGTTGAATCCACAGATCATAGCTTCCTATTGTAACCTCGAGCAGTCTATCTCGAAGGATGTCACGAATGAGCACCAGACTAATTAATTGTGGAGGTTTATGGTAATTGATTGGTTTATTTAGCTCAAGCTGGTGTAAGTCAGCAGCTGATATGAGTTTGAGCTGCATTGGGAAGCTGGGAGACGTGAACGCCTGTGTATAGACCTTGTGATTAATTTATGCAAATGGCCAATGAAATGTTTCTTTTAAATTATCTCTTGATCTTCATCCCTACACTATTGTATAGCATTTTCAAAATAATGAATAACATACCGATCTACTAGTGATAACTGTTTAATAACAGGTTATCAGTTTAAAAATATCAAAGGGGTGATAATTGATCAGGAAGATAAACTAAGGGTATAAACTATTTGCATGGGAAAAATTAGTGAAATTTCAAACAGGTTGTTACGTAATTGATACTTTGCTTAATAGCAACTAACACGAAAAAAATTGAACTATTATGTCTGGTGGGAAGGGGAAGGACAAAATGGCTAGAACTATAATAATGATCAATTGTCATCGTTTTTGGGGTGAACGAACGGAAAGGTCATGTTTTTACAGATGGCAGAAGCAAAGAAAAAGGCTGTACGAATTTCTTCGAAGCACACAGATTCTCCTTGTTCAGGTGGATTCCGATGGCTTCTTCTATATGTTAAACACGAACCCGTAGACCATGAGTGACATTAAAAGGAATGTGATAAATAACTGGAAAGGCATCATGAATATTAACTCATTGACCAGTGTCAACCCTATAAGAGAGTATTATACTTCGAATCAATCTTATTTTCCATATACGTATCAATGGGAAATGATTTTCTGTAACTCTAAAGTGGACTTCCACAGCATTATGCCCAGTAAACCTGCTTTTACAGTATCAGCTGAGCAACTACTGAAAGTATGTAGAAGACACAAAGTAAGATGTCTGCCTTTCATTCATGAAATTGTCATTCGGCGACTGAAGACAACACAGCATAACACTACATCATTGAACCTTGTTACTCCTTCATTCCTTAAAAATATACCTTCTCATTTCAAAACAAAAATCACCTCATGGAAACGGTGCTATCATCCAACAAATCCATATCCTCAATTCATATAATCTATACACAAACACGTCAACAAAAAAAACATTTCCCTATTAGTCAACATCACATACACCGCCCATCATTTAAGTTCTTCGACAAAACCATCTTCTAAACAACACACTACATAAATCTCAGTCACTCTCATCTACACACGGATAACCATTGACACATACACTGAATGAGTCTTTTCTACAAACTCAATTACACACTATGACATGTCTACTTTCGATTGGTGCACACAAAGTCTCTAGTCACTCAAAAACAGATTATTACTTCAGTCGAAAGGCATAATGCAAACAATAATCATAAGAATAACAATAACAATAATAGTATCACCAATAAAGTAGAACCCTCTTCAACATCAATGTCAAATCATAGACCTGTACAACACCCATATCTCAATCACATTCACTCACCATCAACCTCGAAACCATCATTGACAACTAACCAGTCAAACAGTCTCACACATCATATCAACACATTAACCCAATCATTAACGTAGTACCAACACACATGATAGATAGCGAAATCAGCACCTAAGTAGTCGAGATGACAGAGAGCAGTCGAAACAGAACTACAACCAATCCAATTATCACGATACCCACTATCACGACTAACATGAAAACAATGTCTCCATGCACGCATACATGAATGCATCTCCACCACTGACATCCATCCTGAACCATATCACACCCAGTCACTCACAAAACACCGAGCTCACTCGCCTCCACATCCCCAACTGCCAACTACACACTTACACACAACACTGACATCAACTGTCACACACTATATGCTTTCATCTCATGCTTTAGACTGACCACCTCTAAGCTTTCTACAACCTGAACCTACTTCACCTAACATTGTGCCACATTATACAAACAAGGTGAATAGGCATGTCTCACTAATGTCACAGACATCTCACTCCATCAAACTTCACAAATTCACCAACTGACACACCTCTTCGACTTAAAACTCCTCACATCACTTCTACGCTACCCACGTCCTCCCTCCATGACTAACGGTCTGTGCGACGAAGGAAAACTCAGTCGAACTCATCAAGCCTTCTATTCTCCTACAACACCACCTACATGAAACACTAAAGCGAAATGCTCAAACACCGAACACATCAATCTCCCAATCTCAATACACATTCCTCTAGCACAACCAACATTCGCAATTACCCAACAACCACAGATTCCCTACTCACAGACAAAAGTAAAACAACACCAACTCAACGCCTTACATTCACATCTAACACAGAAACAACAAAAATAACTCAACAACATTAAACATTACATCCACAACACTACACTACACCACACCTCAACAAACTACACTACACATCAATCTCAGTCACTCTCATCTACACACGGATAACCATTGACACATACACTGAATGAGTCTTTTCTACAAACTCAATTACACACTATGACATGTCTACTTTCGATTGGTGCACACAAAGTCTCTAGTCACTCAAAAACAGATTATTACTTCAGTCGAAAGGCATAATGCAAACAATAATCATAAGAATAACAATAACAATAATAGTATCACCAATAAAGTAGAACCCTCTTCAACATCAATGTCAAATCATAGACCTTTAGGATTAGTCCTGGTGCGAACTTGACAGACGCAAAGACCAATCACTAATTATTCGAACTTGTTACATACCCACGAATACGAGACCAAGGAAGAACACGATAGCGTAGTCGGATGGAATAGTATATTTGCATGGTTATGCCGAAATACCGATGCGTTCCCACTAACTGGCTAGAGAGTCGAATACGAGCAATGCAACGTAACACGACAGCGCGCCAAATGGCGAGGATGCTTGACAAGGTGCCTTCAGCTTAGCGAGTCCAGTTGAAATATCAAGGTAAGCATCAATGTCGAAAGTCGTCAAACAATAGGCTATTTATTTTGGGGAAGTGTGTGACGCTACAGATCACTCCCCCCCTAGTGGGTTCGTGAGGACCCTAAGACGATACCAGCCGGAAGTAAAAACCCAGTGGTTTCTCCACTGGTAAAACTCTTCCGATGGGCTCACTGCGTGAGGTGGCCCCTGGTTGTCTGTACCTTATTCTAGGGTGTCGTGGCGGTTAAATAAATAAAATACAATAAATGAAATTGTACGTCGGTCGCGGTCATCTGTTCCTTTCGACGTTCCGTCCAGCGCTCGTTGCACCTGGAATATAAATAAAAGTCTTTAATACCACGAAAACGTTGCGTAAAAA